GTGTTTGTTACCTCTTAAAGACTCATGAGGTGCTTGGACGTAGTGCTCAATTGGTTGGTTACTCTATGGCTCATCACTACAAAGAGGGACACTTTTAAAGGTTTAAATGTCCAATACACCAATCTCGTGACTTTTATAAGAACATGATAATAGTTGCAAATGAGAATTGCCTTTTCCAGAGGAAAGTCAGGATATCGACTGACTTGTAGCTTGTTTTATACTCTCCTGACCTTTTGGGCGAAGACATCTTTCAATTAAATGTACCTTCGTATGCATACAGCACAACCCACACCCTCTAATTAAGCCAGTTTGGTGATGTGGGAGGGAAGATGTTTCTTTCTCACTGACCTTGACATGGTGAGATTTTGAAAGCCTGCATACAGAACAGGTGTTCCTTGAGGGATCACTCTGATACAAGACAGATTTTCATCCAAGCCTTCTGGCTGGTGAGCGTTGATCTTGTATTCCATTAAAGCAGCTTTTCCCAACTCGGAAAAAGGCTGAAAACAGAGCGAGTGCACCAAACTCGAGAACAATCTCCAGAAAGACATTCGAGAGAGAAGAATGTGTCTCTTACTCTTTTTGAGGTCAGCTCTTACTTTGCTCTGGTAGTTTTCTCTCTCAGGGATTGGCACAATGTATTAAAGAAATCTCATTCTCGTGCTGTTCCAGAAGACTGCAGTTTGCAGCCTGACTAGCTGTGCCTGAATGTGCAGGAAAAACTGAAGGAGGCCAGCCCCTCTTCACAACTACGGCTTTGAACCCGGACCAATGATGGCTCTGCAGCTGGCAGATGGTTCAGTGTGCTTTGCTTGTGCCTGTCTGATGGTGTAGTTAATCAACTGCTACTAGTTTGAGCTTCATACAAGTTCACATTTACAGAGGCTAAACGTTTCTTGCCTGTGGGCGTGCGGCCCTTGTTTCCAGGCTGTGCTGGCCTGGCAGAGCTGTCTGGTCACTCGCACACCTGACACACCCAGATGGAGAGTGCCAGCAGGCTACATTGTGCTCTGTAACAGGCAGTGAGCTGGCTGACACAGTGTAGAACAGCAGGCTTGTGCTGCTGGGTTTTGACGTTCCACAAAGACTGCTTTATAGAATGTTAGGCAAATTATATATACACTAATATAGGAATGTACTTTATAAGCAAGAATACTGAGCTAAATAGCCTCAGCTCATTTGGTGACTTTTACTTTGGTCTTGTTTAAATTAATGTAGTCACCTCAACACACCAGTGTTACACACAACAATGAGATTGACAAAGACCTCTGGTCTAGCTAAGTACATTTGATGGATCTTGGTGCACTGTAGCTGGTTTTGTCTTGCAAGAGTCATGTCTTAATCATGCAGGAATTATGAGCCTTGAATCGCCCAAAAGTCTCGGAAAATCCTCCGGTATCCCTAATAATGCGATTTGTGTGACTAGGATACAACAATGGGTTTACAGAAGACTGGCTTTTTCACCTTTTGTTTCAGGAGTTGATTGAAATAACTCCGCAAAACAAAATTACCAACGTTTATCAGATTTTTCAATATTGGTTTCTAGAAAGTGTATTTAAGCATGACTATACAACATAGCTTGGGAATTTCCGTTAGTTGATTTATCAGAAATACTTCCATAAATCCATTGGCCCTGTATGTTAAACCCAGGAATAGGAGCTCTCCCAGCTTCTGCGGACTGAAATGCAATTCATGAAATGCAGACTGAAGCACGTGGTGTACCTTAAGTAAAACCTGTTCTAATTCCATGATGTGCTTGGTGTAATGCAAGCCGTCTGCCCTGTGCAGGGAAAAGGTAAGGTTTTCAGGGTCATGCTTAGTCCAGGGATTTCCTTTCCCCTCCTGGCACGGCGAACAATGGCTGTCTCACTCCCAGGGAGAGTGCAACACCCTCGGTCACCTTCGCAGCCTTTGTTGCCCGCTCAGGGTAAACTGAGAAGGCCGTGCTTTCCACAAATAATTCACAATTTTGCACCGTTTTTAATAATGCAGGCTGGTGTGGGCCGTGCCAGCAGCTACTTTTTAACAGCATCCCTGGCGGGGGTCATGATCATTCGACCTGCACTTTCTGTAATTAGTTAGCCTGCTACGCCTTAATTGGAAACCGTGGTGTGCCCACCTCTTACTGTTCCCAGATGCTACAGGCATGAGTGCACATGAACAGTTACTCTTCCCTGCTGCAAGGCATCCTAGCTCATCAAAAGAAGTGCTCTACCCAGTAAACTACCCATGCTTCAGTATCCAACAAGCAAGAAATAAATATGTATAGAAAAATGTTACATTCACCTTTCACTTTATATAGATTAATGGGTGCGACGTATGGACAACAGTGAGACTGACTCATGTTATTGTTCACATTCTGAAATGGAGAGTCTCCCCTTTGAAGCTGGCAAGGAAAATACCTGCTTTACTGAACTCGGCTGCTAATACACATCTCCCAAGATTTTCCCAGCTTTGCTTTTCTGAGAGCCCAACGGATTTCATTTTTTTTCTCTTTGTGTTTTCCCAAACACCTGCGCGTTGACACACAGCCTATATTGCTTACTGTTTAATTTAGCTTCCCAGAGAAAGGCACTGCTAGTCCTGGTTTTGGTCTAATCCAGGGCATCAAAAGGGGTTTAAAACACTCTGGTTTCACCTAATCTTATAACTCAAACCCAGCCGAGCTTGAAACCTGCTTTGCCATGATAGGAATGGACAAATAGAGGTTTCTTCCAGTGCATTAATGAAAGGAACACTGTGTGCTCTGTGGATTAAAGGCCTAAGGATTTCTTTTCCCCAATACGACTGAAAAAGCATAAAAAATAAAGAGCAGTTTGTTTGTATGGTATAATACCTATAAAAGGCTCTTATAGCTCATACCTGCCTAGCATTCATTTCCTGAATTAGACTTCTTTAGGACAAACAAAAGTTTTGTTTTTTTTCATCACAGGCTGTCAGCTACCAAATGAGCAAAATAGACCAAGTGACTTCCTCTCATTTATCACCTTTGTGTCTTTGTGGTACCTTGGATTTCTACAAAGAAATGAGTAGTTGAAGAAAACTTTAACAAACATTGCTACACTAAATGGATGCTCCATCTAATCCTATAAAAAATCCTAGTAAAGCATAAAAGAATGTATTAGTACCCTGTCAGCTGCAGAATACCCAAGGCTAGGTTAATAATTCCTCTGAAAACTGTCGGTTAAAGAACATTACAGCTCACGTTTTTGTCGTTATTATTATTATAAACTAAATTCACAAATCAATACTTTTACATTTTTAATTTTACATTTTTTATGTATCTACAGACATGCACTATTTATAAACTCTCTACATCATATCAGGTTTTGTTGAATTTTAACATATAAATGTGATTAATATACAAAAGACCTGATGGTTAAATTGTGTCTGTGATAATACGCATGCTTTTGATTCAAATAAGCAGCAAAAAGCATTCTGTCAACAGCTTTCATTGGTAATCTCCAGAGAATTAACACCTTTTTAAAGAAGAACTCATGCAGAAATCATAGTAGGATAACCAAAACAGAAGCAGCAATGAAAAATCATTGTACTAATTTTTTTCACTGTGCTAGTGTTGTCTCTCTTCCCCGTCAGAGCTGTGACGAGCAGGACGCTTGTAATTTGCCTTTCAATGAGTGATGAACACGGATACGAGATTCTTCAAAGGGTTTCTTTAAAAACAACCACAACGTAAACGTATAAACACATGACAAAAAACAGATGATAATAATGATAATGATAATGATTCTTTATTAGCCCTATACAATTTCTTGCATTAGGAATTCGTCTTTTCGCATACCCCAGCTTTTCTCCATGATATCAGGTCTAAAGGGTGAATCACCTTGTTTAAATATTTTAGGAAAGTTCAGCAAAATTATTGCTACCTTGTTCCCACAGTGATTAACTACTTGACTTCTTGTATACAGTAAGTATTTGCATATACAGCTAGAGCAATAATAATAATGTGAAGTACTAGTTTCTAATCCACAAGTATAGCCACTGCTCCTTCCTGCTCAGGTGACCCCCAGTAAAGAGAAGACATGCCTATGAAGGTCTAACTTATTTTCATTTTGTACAGTTTGGGTTTTTCTAAGACCTACTACCTTTTCCCAAACCCCTGCTCATACCTGCCTTTTCTGCGTTTGGTGCTATTATAAACGTGTCACTGAAATCCATTCTTGTTCCTGTAAAGTTAATTTTTGCTGCTGTCACACGCGTTTTAAAAATATCTGTATTGGATCCCCATGTTCTTAATTACCATCCTATTTTATATCTGCCTTTTCTAGCAAAAATTCTTTAAGGGCCAGTTTAAGTTCAATTACTACTTTATCTTGCATCCAATACAATGTTTGGACCTTTTCAGTCAGAATTTAGACAGAATAGGACTTTTGCTTAATGTCCCACATGAAAGACAGTACCTTCTACAGCCCAGTGTCCCTGACCACTGTACTGTAATATTAAACAACACAAAGACAAAAATGTACAATTAATACTGCTGTCTAGGTTACAGCCCAGCAGCTGTGCCTACTTCATGAATACAAAAAAAATCTAAGATAGCCAAATGTTGACCTTTTAGGTCTATGCATTTTTAAAAGGCAACATATATTTATATATTGGATTCACCTGAAAAAATGTGAGGAAATCAGTTTCTCACAGATGTGATTGCCGATTGATCCACCCGCTAAAGGCATTAGAGATTTGAATTGCCCTATTCAGTTACTTTATTAATTCTGTGGTCATTGAAACATAATGTATCCGAATTATGTTAAATCTAAAAGCAAGGGGGCGACAGGAAACATTTTGAAAGTATCGTTTAATAAAAGGCTATAGACAACAGGTGGCAATTCGCCGCATCGAGCACGCGCGGCTCTTCTGCACGGTTCCCTTCGCCTCGACAATCAGGCATGTATTAGGTCGCCTCCACGCTCTGGTTTGGGTCCTTCCGCTTCTCTGTCGCATATTTTGCTGAACTCATGAGTTAGGTGTGTATGCTGAAAATGAGAGTGAAGTAGCTTGGCGTTAAAACAGCTAAGCTCGTTTTCAAGCACTTTCAAAAAGCAAAGTTATGTTATTTGATTGCAGTTCACAGGATGAGTCGCAGTAGTGAAATTGTTTGGTAGACTTCGTTTGTCGCGATCTTCTGTTTCTCTTTATTATACTTCCAGTGAAATAAACACTATTGTACGTATGTCTTGCAGTGAGTTTGTTACATTAAAATCGAGAAAGCCGTCATTTCTGTTGTCATTATTTGATTGAAACCCTTTATGCAGGATTCTCAAATAGAGTAATACACGTGCTTAAGAAAAGGCAGTTATAAACGTAAGCGTAGTAAAAGTTGCAGTTTATACAGATTTTTCTTAACCTTACAGAAATGTGGCAATTAAAAGGAATTATAGAAGCTTCTCTCCAGTTTTTTTTTATAATAGCAGAATGTACAGTATACTTACCAAATGTACATTCGAATTTAGAAATTCATGACTCCCTTTAGGCACTACGGATAGTATTTGGTTTTTAATGTAAAAAGATGACGATTTGCACTATCGGAAAAGAAAATCTCAAGTCTAGTTTAGACATGAGGTTTTAATTCAATTGCAGCTTCATTTCGTTTCTCTGATAGCAATTGGATTCAATGTGAATCCACGTGAAAAATTAAGTATTTATTTTAATGTAGTCTTTGCCATTAAAATTCTTGTCTCCAGTTCTTAAGTAATGTACACTTAATTTCAAACGCTTTTAGAAAAAGATGACACTCTGATGTGAATAAGCTGAAATTTAAGAACAATGTCGTGTTTTTTTAATGTTTTCAAAAGCGTTTTTACACGGAGTGTTCAATAATGACCTCTTTGTTACAGAGTCTTCATACCTCATTGTGTTGTCACCCGGGAGACTCCGTATTGAGAAGCCTTTTCATCAGGTGCGTAGTGAATTCGGATGTTTATACAATTGACTTACACATATATACAGGTAAAGTGTAAGACACCGCTCTACCCTTATTCCTCAAGTGAGTGTAGTAGAACGGGTTCACAGGGGTCTCTTTGCCCTTGATAATTTACAGCATCTGAGCTAAAGAGGACAGAGATATGTCTCCCCTCATTTTTAGGGGGTAGAGAGAACGAAAGTGAGCATGTTTGAAGCAGATCCAGGGGAAGGGTCAGCTCACACACCCGGAATTCCATGACCAGAGTGCAGAACGCTACAACATGAATAATTGTATTGGATGTGCTGATTAAAGAACATACGACCTGTTTTCCTGAATCCAGCATCACGTCCTTTACGTCAGCAAGCCTTTCTATCGTGAAATGAACGCCGTTTTGACACGAAAGGCACAGTTTAAAATATTTAAGAAGGAAAAAAAAAGTTTTTTACTTATGTTGGCGATGAGCACGTGTGATATGAAATGTGTCTGCCTTTTATTTCGATTGTGTAGTAGTTCCAGTCAGCTTTTCACATGCGACATTCAATCAAAATATGTCATTTAACTAAATGGATTACCACATCCTACAGTAAGTAGGATAGCCACTGGGATAGTTTGGTTAACCATCTTTTCTAATATCCTGTGCCCCCACAATGTTCTTAGTACATGTCCTTGTCTGACTTAGTGTTGACAGAGCAAAAAGGAGGGATGAGATGAAAGATCCCGTTTCTTAATCATAGAAATTGATTAAGGAGATTGGGCACATGATCTGCTGGTTCCCCAGATTGTCATTAATGTTAACCCAGAGGATGTACAGTCCCTTCACTATTTTACTATAAGAAATTCTAAGTCATGTAAGGTAATGGGAGCAGGTATAGCTTAGTGTACCATAAAGCCCTAGAAGTAAGGAGTTTTTGCAAAGTGCATGTTGACACAATAGATTGAGCAAGTGCAGTGTTGACTGTCAACACTGGTGAGACCAAGTGAGCAAAACAAATTATGTCTTAGCAGGTGAGTTCTGCTGAAAAACAATATTTTATGGAGCTTAGGGATTTAGCACGTTTCCAAGAAAAGACTACTTGGAAAAGGAAAAAAAAAAAGGTACATCTGCCTCCTAGCACAGCTCTTTACAGGCAGTGGTGTATGAAACACCTGTTCAAGGTAATTAATGATAACGTGAACAGATAAGGATGACAGAGCTGTTGACCACAAGGAGTAGTAACCTCCTAAATCAGGGCCCTGAAACAAAGTGCCATCAGTTTTTCAAATCCAACGAGGCCACCATTCACTCCTTATCTTGTGTTCCTCTGCACAGCATTCAGGCCACTGAGGGGAACAATACAGCACCTTCCCCTGCTCAGGGTCTGAGTGACAGTGGGCGTGGGGGCACTTGTGTCTGGCTTTGCACTCTATCTTTCATTCTGTTGTTTTTCCAGCAAAAATTCCGAATTTTCTTCTTCACAATAAAGGGCGTGCGTCGTAGGAACTTCCTACCTTGTTTATTTAACTGGACTTTATAATAGACTTGGGTTCCCATTCAGCACATTTGTTTCCTTTTGAGAGAATTCAGCTTTTCGATCTGGCAGACCCCGCAGAAAAGCTCACTAAAGGTGAAAATGACTAACAACCGAGCCACAAATTCGGCTGCATTTCAAGCTTCGTTGGGACAGCTTTGTGAAAAGCCGAAAAAAGTACTCTTGTATGTCAGCAGTGCATACAAATATGAGAAATAATTCATGCTTGGTTATTGTTTTATTTCAAGTAATAAATAGTAGCTCGCTCAGTTTCATTGTGAAGCATTCCGAAGTATATTTTAATTGTTCTACCACTTCACTATTTATTGGGCTTCTAGAGTGCCATTCTCTAAATATGTTGCATAGCCAAAGTTTATATTTTCATTGAGGTTACCAATTGAAATATGCAAAAAAGAATCAATAGGGCTCTTCACAACGATAGGCTTCTTTTCTTATGCGGTTCTTAAATTTAGTGTATTACACGAAAAAGGAGGGAGGGTTGGACTGAGCTTTCCGTGCTAACATCGTCAATTGCATCACAAGAGATCACAACTATTAATTTGCAAAAAATGGATGGGGAGAAATATATGTGTAAGAATAGCAAACTGTACAACCTGAATGATTTCAACAGTATTTTAATAGTACTTATTTATAAGTGTGTTATATTGGCTGTGTGGAAAGCTATTTCCTGTGGGTTGTCAGAAGAGTGCTTGATAGATGCCAGTGGCCAGAAAGAACCACAACATCAGGAACTAAACTTCACTATGTGCTCTCTTCATATAGGATCACAACTGTCGGAGATATTATTTCAACCTTGACTTAGTATAATAGGATTTGTCAAGCAAGGCATATAGTTCCCATAACGGCCCTTTGTATTTGTTTCATAAGTGGCCTAGTGTTTTTATGAATGGCCAGTTTGAACAGAAATATGGAAGCAGCCCGATCAGGTGGGTATCTGCCTATCACATGACACCCGCACCAAAGGAAGGGACAGGGCCAAAAAAAAAAATGCAGCAGAGGAATGCGGACAGCAGATTCCCAATCTTTGAACCCTACAATAAAATTGCCAGTCAGTCTCCCCAACCTCTCAAACCCCCCACCGCCACCCCCAAAAGAAAGGAACTCAGGGGCACAGATAGTACCTTCGTTTGATCTGAAGGTCGCCAGCCCTTCTGCGTGTTGAAAGACACCTGGCTGTAGTTCCTTGGACTTATTTAATAACATGAAGGGGAAGCTAACTCTCTCTCATAATTAGGCCTAATTACCAAGGAGGTGTTGACAGATGAGCCAAGAAGAGACAAACTGCCTTTATCCAAAGACTTAGAGTCAGATTACTGTTGCGGTCTTATCTGTTACACAGGGAGAAGAACCTTCAATCTTTGTTGCCTTGTTACAGAGAGGAAGGGACAGCACAGGGACAGAGGGCTTAAGGTTAAAACTCTGACTCCCGTTATATGAATCAAACCTTCCAGTAAAGGTTTTTAAGCCCTGAAGTTAATCATTTTTTCTTTTTTGTGTCCTAGCATGTTTTATTAAATATTAATAGGACACTGTCCAGTTTAACGGTGCAGAGTCTGACCCGTTGTCCTGCATTTGACTTGTGCTGTTCTGGAGCAGGAGTCAGATATAAAAAGACTTTGTTTTTCCTTTATTAAACATCAAGCTGCTGAAGACGTACCCTGCATTACATCTGAGTCTATCAGGATTTTCTACTGGAGGCAGAGAGACTAGATCTATTGTAAAAGGACGTTTGGGTAGATATGTATTAAAGTTGACAATATCTGTAATTCCTGTTTTTTTGCAGGGGAGCAGCTGGTTTGCAGTTTACAGTGCTGAAGAAACACTGTGAGTTATAGGAAGGGGTGCTGAAGGTCTGAAAAGCAGTAGAAATTGCATTCTGTATTAAAGCACAACAGTCAGGATTAACTCGCCAAAGAAAAAGACAGTAGATCTTTTATTTGGCCATCATTTTGTTGCAGTGTTCTAAATTTAATCATATCTACGGGTAGAACCAGCAAGAGATCATCTTTTGGTTTGGTGGTATCCTGTTGCTATCAGGAGTTTGGTAAAATATTTGAAAGAAAATAATTTGGATGTGATGCTCAAAAAGATTTGTTGACCTGAATTTACAATTTGCAATCAGAACTGAGTCACAGTCAGTTTGAGGAGAGACTTGTAGTAATATCTTAGGTGTTTTTCCTTTTGCATTATTCAGTACTTGCTGAGACACAATTCTCTAGCATAACTGGACCTCAGAATTGACTATAAGCACAGGGCTTAAAGACCATCGTACTTGCATTCTGAGATTCAAAACTAATAAGGCATAAAATATATTAACAGGATTCCTTTACGTATTTATTTTACAGCTTAATCTTAGTTGTTTTAAATAAAGGCATGCGAATTAAAAATTCCGTGACCTATATTAGTTACAGTTGTCTAGCATACCTTATTATTCAAATAAACAGAAAGCTACTGACAGCTATATTCTGCTGTCCTTCTTCAGTAGAGAATGTGGTTAAAGTGCATTTCTCTTGATGAATTCGGTTCCGGGCAGCAACAGTAGGGCCGAGTCAGTTTGTGTAGAAAACATTACCCATAGAAATTTTTCCGACTCCCGTTCAGAAGTTCTGTCTTGTGTCGTCTTGGGCGCAGACAGTGTGTAGGAGTGTGTAATGCTCAGCCCTGCCGGTGCAGGCCCCAGCTTTGTCTCTGAGCTCTGGCCTGGATTGACATTTGGAGAGTAAACCTGCAGTTTGAGATGTGTCACCAGCTCCTCACTGCGAGCTAGCAGGACTTTTAAAGCAGCACGGGCATGTTAATCCACCTTTTATCCCGGCCAGAGCTCTCTGTCAGATTCAGGGATAGGAAAGGAATGTTTTATTTTTTTAAGATTTACTTCATTGCTCGTATGTATTAAGAAATCACGGAAAAAATGTCTCTTACCTGTCTTTTCATTCTTTTGCCTTCTCAATATCACAAACATGATTGCAAGTCTTGTCTATTGTTTTTAGCTGCAGCTTATGAGCCTGAACTGCAGAACATGTATATATTGTGTACATGTGTATGCACAGCATGTATGCAATGACTGTGCTACTGAAACAGTCATTCAATTCAATCATTTATTATCTTTTTGTTCTATGCTCACCCAATTTGAAATTTAATGAAAGGTGCAGATGGACTCCTCTGAGCCTCCTACCTATCTGCCCTGACTGAAAAAGAGTTGCACCCCTCACTGACATCACAATTTCACTTCAGTCACCGGGGATGTTGCTGGAAACTCTTTGCAGGGAGCCCAGAGACTCTTGGCCAGCTCACCGAAACGGTTATCCTGGTGGCACTGAGCCTGTTGAGTGCTACCCCTTGGGGAATCCTGCTCGCAGTCAGCTGACACAGTCCAGGGTCCTCAACCGGGCCGAACCTGTGCCTGAAGAGAGAGCCTTTATTGGCTGAACCGCTGACGAGGTCCCTCGTTTAATTTTTCACAGTTCATTATTACCGTGTAATGACTAGCTCAGGTTTGGGACAGTGCGGGGCTGTCTGTGTACTTGCGCTGTGGCAATGATGTGTACTCCCCACCCCAGGGACCAGGGAACAGAGCTGAGGGTGACTGTCCTCACTGGGAAAATCTTCTCTAAAGGGTGCTGTGACGTCCTTTCTTAATTAGGAAGGCTGGACAGAAGCTTGTCTTCGGATGACAGATTAACATGGACAATTTAACCAGTAACCTGATGAAATGAGTTCTCTGAAAATGCCTTTGGATCCAGTTTCAGCTCTGACTGCTTATCACATCAATGAATGGTGGGAAAGAAACAAAAAGCAGAGGCTCTCATAATTACTGGGTAAATCACTTAGCAGGAAACCTCTTGGTAACTGACCAAAAGCGGAGTTTGAAGGATCATTAAAACAGGAGGGGATATGACCTGAGCTAATTGTTAGATTTTTATTTTTTATTTTCATGACGCAGAGCAAACATAGGTCTAGCAAAGAGGATTCTTCGCCTGATCTTTTCTTTAAACACAGAATCAGCCTGCAGTGTTTGGAGATGTGGTAAATAATAATTATATATTGAAATCAGGTCTGTGAAGTGAACAAACAGGTCTGCCCAAGTGGGTAAATCACACTATGGGAGAAGTGCGTGGAGAGTTCCCACCATCTTCCATCAAAATTCAGGATGAAGAGTTTCCTTTGCTTCTGATGACATTCTCCGGGTGGGAGACCCCTCACTGGGAATCAGAACAGAGTTATTTGGATCAAGGCATCTATCTGCTTTAATTGAAGATTGACACACAGTTGCCTTAACCAACCTTTTGTGGTCGGTTTATTTTCTTGTTTAAGGCCCTGCCTACAGCAAACATTAAAGCTTATGAGCTGTTCTTTTAAAAGTGCTGCTGCTAAAAAAAAAAATCTTGAGTCTGTTTGTAATGTTTACAGTAATTAAGCCGTCTCATAACATGCTTTATGATATATTGGGTAACAGTTTCTATCCTATGAGGATAAAATCAACGTGTCATTGATTTTTTTTTTAATTGCACTTCTTGCCCATAGGCTTTATTTATATTTATAGTTCATATATTTAGACAAAGATATCTAATTGCGAGCTAGTAATGTTTAGTCACGAGCTCTGTGTTTTTGAAAATACCTTTTTGTTATTATAAACTTAGTTTAATTTCATTGAGCAGCAACAGATCCTGTAGTCCATTGTAGTTTTGTTTTTACTAAGAATAATACACTTAATTTTATATCGTGCCTTTGAAAGTAGCCTCTCGAAAGTGCTTTACAGTAGGTGTAAAAAAAACAAAAGAACACAGTTATTGGGATAGCCCTATACAAACTGAGGATATAAGATACACAAAGAGAGGTGTAGTGGGAGATACATGGTCATTAGAAATTGGAGAACTGGACATAGACACTAAATTAAAGAAAGAACAAGAACAGACAGCAGACAAGAGGGGGGCGTTTTGCCCATCTGGCTTGTTTGTTTTTTAGTAACTATTTGATCCAAGGTTCTTGAAAGGCGCCAGGGGTGTCAGCTTCAACATTGTGGCTGGATATATTGACCCCAGCAACCTTTTATGTAAATATGTGCCTCCCGTTCTGCTGTTATCAGTTTAAAACGCACTTCTTCAAGGTTTCCATTTGCATCCTCTGTGTTTTCACTGTTCACTCTGAAGAAGTCCATGGGGTTTCTGTCAGAGCCTTTGTGGATTGTGAGCGTTTGAGGCCAGAGTCTTCTCTGTTCCTGCCTCTCAGTGTACGAGATTAAGCCTTGAATGCATCTGGTTGGCTCTTCTCTTGACTACTTCTCTTGACTAATTCCAGAAATTAGTCAAGTAGCACTATCGGTTTTGCAATGTGGTGAACAGAATCATACACAATAGTCTAAAGAAGGTAGTTACCAGTGCATTGTATAATTTTCATATGCAGCGAGTTAAAAGATGTGTTTTGAACTCAGTCCTAACATGTTGCTTTTTTATTGTTTCCCTTCGTTATCTAGAAGACACAACTGAAGTGTCAACATGAACACCTAAGTCTCCATCCACTTATTTGTATAAAATATCATCTACTATGTGTCTGGCCAGTTATGCATTCTATTTAAGTCAGTTTGAGTCTTTGCATCTTCTACAGATATTTCTCATTACTATTTTGGTATAATCTATAAACTCCACTATTTTATTACTTTACTAGAATCCAGATCATTGGGAAATTGGGAAGACTAGTGATCCTATATCAGATCCCTGTAGTTCTCTACTAATTATATCACCTCAATTGGAGCCTTCACTCCAAATTAACTCCAAACTGTTTAGTTATGGCTTTGTGACATTCAGAATACCAGCATGAACTATTCAGAATACATTTGTTTTATAAGAAATTAAAGACACTAGGATACAGGGCATTTTTTCAGAATTGCTGGCTTTACAAAAGTCTCAGAACAACACTCCTGTCAGCACACTAAGCAGGAGATTGGACTGATAAGGTACCTCCACTGCGTATTTTTAGTGACGTTAAAACTGATTCAACAGGTTTTATTTTTATTCTGAAAAAAGAAGAAGTTAGAAAAATGTTGTTTGTATTACATTGCCATGGGTGATCAACAGTACTTTTTAATTTCCCAGGAAAGGCAAGAACGGTCTTTTCTGACAGGCAGCTCATCTGCTGTTTCTCCCCACAGGGGGAGATGGCCGTGCCGCCCCCGGACCCTCTGTTCGTCCTGAGGGGCTCCGGCACCCCAGTCAACACCCTGCACTTCAGCTGTCGAGACGCCGTGACCCCTCTGCTCTTCTCTGGGTACGTGTGCACCGAGTCAGAGCGGGGAGGCGCGACTGTCCTAATTACTGTACATACTCCTCTAAAAACCTGGGTGTTAATCAGTCATAGAGTATTTCTCAGTCCTCACCCTAGTCTGAGTCATCACACATAGGGACATTGAGGAAGGTAACATGGGTTCTTAGTTTTTTTGTGAACAGTGTGTCGGTTAAGAAAAGACTGTGAAACAGCTTGATAGACGAGAGTGTACTACAAACTCAAAATCAAATTTCTGGACCCAAAAGTACAAGTGAGTTCGAAAGCCCAAAACGTGCTATGTAACCCTTCACCACCAAATTACTGACATTGGTCAACCCTGATATACTTGGAAGAAGACACACATCTTTATCTCAGTAGGTAAACCTATTCTCGTTAAAAAAAAGCCTCTTCAGGAAAGCTCCCAATCTAAACTGAAAGGAAACGGGTTTTGGTTCCTATGCAAGAATGCATCTAAATTTAAGCAAGAATGACAAACTGCCTGGCAGATTGAAAAGGAAACTTGAAATATTTCCACAAATACGAAAAATAGAGCTCCATTCCCCAAACGTACGCTGAGGCCCTTCCATGCTTGATTCCTGCTGTGTTTTGGTCTGTTGGTGAGCAATCCAAGTGGATAATCCCAGAACATTATGGATAGCGCTGGGCACTCTCACCCAAAACGAGGGCTCTTTTGTCACTGTGTCTTTCCTCTCCTTTGTATTTTTAAGTAAAATGTTGGTCTCGTGAACTTGATTGGTCTGTCCCAGTTTCAAATGTGTTCTAGTTATCTAGTGTTAAGGAGGAGGCTGCTTATTTGTTCAGATAACCCTGTATTGTACAAACACATCAAGAGATCCTCTCCAGCAGTTCTGGAGCAATTCCCAATACACTGGTGCCAGATCAGGTGATAGGCATTAAAAATCAATACAGACATCCAGGATGTACCTAACCCATAACTGTGAAATATGTTACTTGTTGCCACCTTGCAATTTTCAGTGTACTGATATATTTTTATGATGCCACACATTCCTAGGTTTTAAACTGTGCATGCTTAAAGATGTGCATTCTGTGAAACGAAATAACAGCCACCACTTTGCAGCTCAGCCAAAGGGACAATTCACATCTGGAACCTGACTACGCACCGTGCAGAGAGGACTCTGGATGGCCACGGTGGGGCTTCTGTCCTGTGGTTGAGCACGCTGAGGTCCGCAGATGCCCTGATAAGGTAGGAGCACAGCTGCAGGTCTCTCAGACCCGGTCTGTGCCGTGTGTGATGACTGTCTGATCTGGGCTCAATGAGCAATTGTCAGCATTACTATATGCTCATGAGAATGATTATTTAGGCAGATGGTATTGTGCTGTTGTTAGACATTTTAGTATTATTGCATAATAAGGTCCAGTAATAAATGTGCATTGATACTTTATTAGCCCTCAATAAGAGATAAATGTATTTTAGATTAATTGTAGACTAGTTAGAAAAATGCATTTTATAGTAGTTTTGACTTGCAAAAGAGAGCATTCACAAAGGGCAACATGTAAGAAATATTAATACTGCATCACAAAGACAAACCAAGTCAATCATTTCTTCCTTGAAGAGTATTTCCAGTATTTATGTTTTGCAACAGACAGGCTACATGAATAGACATTAAATAACTGTATTTCTAAGCGGTCTAATCATTGGTAATATATTACCAAACTTTTCAAACTTTTATGTGTGTATTATTCAACTTCATTATTATGATGACAGGCCGTAAATGAACATAACTTTCAAATGTCATGAAATAAAGTTCATTTTCATTATATTTCATTGCTGGTTTTAGAAGTGGGATGCAGTTTGTTGTTCGGACACATTCACGTTGATTTCAGCCTCC